ACCTCAGCCTGAAAAACCCCACCCGAAGGGCAAAGGCGGCAAGGGCAAGGGCAAGAATGGTAAATCCAAGGACACCCGCGACCAGAATGGCCCCAAGTGGATGGTTTCATTTTATGAGAACGGAGTTCAGAAGCAGATGTGCAAGCGATGGAACCTTCGTTCTGGTTGCAAGTTGGATGACTGTACATTCATACATGGTTGTGCTATTGACGTTGGCGGCCGACCTTGCGGCAAGGATCATCCCGCTTACATGCACAAGTCCTGAAACAGCCCGAAACCTGTGGAGGGACAGTTTTCAGGGCTTGCAACACATGCACCCTCACCTGTTCCATCGGCAGGTCATACATCTACCTCTGATGCTGACATTCTTGACTTGCTTCAGCAGTCCTTTACATCAACAACTGTGAAGTACAGATGGCAGGCTATTGAGGGCGACCGTGCAGATGCCGCCTACTTTAACCTTGGTGGTTTCTCTCAGTCGGTGCGTTTTGGATTGACACATCATACATTCCAATACCAGCATATCTTGTGCCGACTTAATGCCTGGTTATGCATGCTTTTTCCATTGGGTACATGGACTTCTCTTTGCATCTCTCACAACGAGGTGCTCAAAGTTCATCGCGATACATCCAATGAGCCCGGCACCCTTAACTACACTGTTGCCCTGGGCGATTTTTCGGGCGGAGGTTTACTGCTGGAATCTTCATCGGGCGAGAAATCCTTGCGAGTCGAAGCCTTACAGAAGTGCATCAACTTTTCATTGGTTGACACCAGGTCTTCTCCCCTTGCATTTGATGGTGGTCTTTGGCACGCCACTGAGCCCTTCGTGGGCGACAGATGGGTCATCACTGCCTACACCTGCAGGCGTTTGGCAGAATTTCAGTCATCGGATGTTGATGCATTGCGCATGTGGGGGTTTCCCCTACCTGGCGAATCCTTACCTCGTCGTTTGCCTCAACCTCAGGCGGTCGAACTGCCTCAGCCGGTTCTTCCGAAGAAATTCTGCCTTTTGCTGGCTTCACAGCACTCTGAGGTACTTCGTGCTGGCCTCTCAACTGCTGGGGTTCCTCACGTTTGCATTCAGTCTCTGGATCAGGAGCATGCCAGAAATTGCATTTTTCGTTGTGCGGGAGAAGGTGTTTTTCCTTCCATCTTCATTGTGTACTCTCCTGACTGGAGCGAGAGTCACACTCGCTGGGTGCTGCAACTCTGCAAAGTTGCTTATTCGGCAGGCTCTGCAGTGCATCTTGATATTTCTGGTTGGACCCAGTGCTGGTCGGATCAACTGTTCCTTCACTGCATTTGTACTGGTCTGCAACACATCGTGCAGGTGCCGGTGTGTGCCTACAAGGGGGTTGGTGGTTGCCCCTGGATCATGGTTTCTTCTTCGCCTTCCTTTTCTGCATTGGGGCACCCATGCTCATGTAGTAGGTGCCGTTCGACTTCCACGATTTCTGACTATCCTCCTGCATTCGTGGATGCTCTTTGCGATATCCTGCTGATATCCAAACTTCGCAAATGCTCAGGTCAATGTGAGTTTTCCATTGATGAGGCTTGGTCTTGCATTCCAGAAAAGCCGACTGACTCTCCACCACATGCTTGGGTGGATGGTGGCGGCCTTCAGAGCCGTCCCGACTGGAGTGGCCATGAGCGGTCCACTGATGATATTTTCAAATCGCTCCGCCATGCCTTAATTACTTGGTGTGGCAAAGCTTGCATTCCGTCCAGAGTTCGTCACAGATTGTTGCATCCCTCAGATTCCCATCTCTTCTCGGAAACTGAGGTGAAGGAAATCCGTGGTCTTTTCAGCACTTGGCTGGAGTCCCAAGGTTGCAACTCCATTGACTGGCAGGTGAAGGATGGTCAGCCATACTGCTTGCATTCTCTGGCTGCATTGTCTTCGGCTCTTAAAGATGCTGATATGACTCTCTTCAGTGCATTACTCAGTGGCGTTCCTACTGGCTTCAAACACGATATACCCATTTCCGGGGTTTTCGCTCCCTCTGGTCGCTCAGCTTCAGATGATGCATTGACTGTCTGTCAAGAAAATTGGCAGGGGGCTGAAGACGACCCAGTCCTCCTGGAGGAGCTAGTGCAGATCGAGGTGGACAAAGGCTGGTTACGTTGCATTGAGTCTTTGGAAACTGCACGCCAGATCTGGCCCAATGTTGCTGTTGGCAAGTTGAATATTGTACATTCCGAGGGCAGAAAACCTCGCTTGGTGGTTGATTCTTCCATTTGTGGTACAAATGCCTGCTGCCTCATTCCTGAGCGCTCTGCATTACCTACACTACAAACTATCCAAGCCTCCTGGCCAATACTGGGGAGACTCGAGCCTTTGGCAGCTTGGTCCATTGATGTTCAGGCCGCACACAAATCCATTATGGTGCGAGACTCGGAACAGGGGCTACTGGGCATTCGAGTTGGTCCCAAGCTCTATTTCTATACAGTTTGTCCCTTCGGTGCAGCTTTTTCAGCTTTCTGGTTTGCTCGCCTTGGTGCATTTTTCGTTCGCACACTTCATCGCTTGATCTTCATTTCTCACTGGCTGGCCATGTATGTGGATGACTTACTTGGCTTTCAATCTGCATCAGTTGCAGAGATGAGCTTTTGCATTACTTTATGCTTTTGTGGGGCCTTTTCCATCCCCTTGTCCTGGAAAAAGTTACAGTTTGGCTGCTCCATTCGTTGGATAGGATGGGAGCTAAATTTCAGTATGGGCTGCGTTTGCATCCCATCTGACAAGCTTGAAAGGTTGCATTCGGTTATCGTGTCTGCACTCCGTGGCAAGTACACTGATCGGGCTACATTGAGCAAGTTATGCGGCATGTTGCGATGGCTTTTCAAACTTTTTCCATTGGCTAGGCCATGGCTGAGGTCTCTTTATCAAGACCTCAACACTCCACGTGCAACCAACTTCAGTGTTCGACAGAACGACTGGCAATCATTCATTTCTTGCTTGAACGACAATTTACATTTGGTCAAGTTACCTCCTGGATCGGCGATTACGGTGGGCAGCCGTGTTCTTGCTGTGAGACATCACAAAGTTGCCACAAAGCGCGAACTTTTACATTGCAACCTTGGTGATAAGGATATCTGGCTTCGCATTGCGGACTCTGCATCCAAGCGTCGTGCATTGAGTCCATCCTCCAGAAGTTTGTTGCAGTTCTGGCTTGATTGGTCTGCATTGCCTCCAATTTGGCGATCGCTTCGCCCTATGGAGCATTTACAGGTGGAGGCAGCAGCTGATGCCATGGGCAATGGCCGCACTTTCGCTATAGGCGGCTACATTGCTTTACCAGGTGGCGAATTTTGGTTTTCAGAATGCTTTACTGTGGAGGACTTTGCATTCGCAGAGCTCCCACTGAAGTCCGAGGCGCACAAGGACATTACGTGTTATGAGTGCCTCGGTCAGATTGCATTAGTTTGGCTTTTGAGTGCACTAAGCCCAGGTTGCAAATTGTCGGTTCGCATGCATTCCTGGTGTGACAACAGTGGGGCTGAAGCCACTGCCAACAAGCTTTTTACTACGTCCTGGCCTCTCGCTGCATTTGTGCAGCGACTGGCTATTTTAAGCAGTTTTACTGGCGTCCACTTGGATGTACATCACATTGCAGGTCCAAAGAACACTGAAGCGGACTTTTTGAGTCGCTGGCTTCCACCGGCTGCTTTGCCAGCTCGTTGGAGCCTCTCCCGACGGCGTCGCATTTCATTGAAGGCACTTTGGAATGCCTCGCCTTCCATTTCGATTTCGCCTCCATCTTGGAAGCCGTCTTTCTGCATTCCGAGTAGCTCTCCTTTAGGAGCAGCACTCTAATCACCTTGTCGCACGTTTTTCATTTGGGGAATTGATGCGCGACTTCGGTTCTCTGGCAGATTGCATTTGGGGGAAACATGCAGATCAGTTTCACTGCAAGGTCCATCCCTTGCTCGGACAGCATGATCTGCATTCCCGCCAGAGAACAAAGGAACGAGTGCTTTGCGAGTGACTGCATCAATTCCATTTGAATATTTTCCATTTGCTTTATATGTATATGCTTTACATATAAAGCTGCACATAGGAAGCAGCTGCGAATACATTAACCGAACGGTATGTGTGCTTGCTCACGAGTGTTTGGTAATGTTTTGCATGCTTGCTGCATTTCATGACACTTCATGTACATTGCAGCAAGCAGGCTCGCAGCTGCCAGCTCGCCTGCATCGCAGGCTGAAAATTTTGTCCCACCCACCTCTTCCCTTTGTTTGGGGAGTCCAGTGCTGGCATCTGCATTCTGGTGGTCGCAATTTTACTTGCATTGCTGGCTCCTGATGCTTGCATCTGCATCCAGCGATCCTTTTGTGGCCATCTTCTAAGAAGCATGACCTTTCTGCATTCCTTCATCGGTGACAGGTCGGTGCCTTTTGATGCACCTAGATCTCACCGGATGGGGGAAACATGCAGATCAGTTTCACTGCAAGGTCCATCCCTTGCTCGGACAGCATGATCTGCATTCCCGCCAGAGAACAAAGGAACGAGTGCTTTGCGAGTGACTGCATCAATTCCATTTGAATATTTTCCATTTGCTTTATATGTATATGCTTTACATATAAAGCTGCACATAGGAAGCAGCTTCGAATACATTAACCGAACCGTACAGCACCTCTGGAGCATCCTTAAAGATCCTGCTGTCAAATTCGTTCATTTTGCCCCTCCTTGCGGGACCGCAAGCCGAGCTCGTGACATAAGGTTTGAAGGTGCGCCGCCTGTTCTCCGAAGCGAGTTGTGCCCTGAAGGCGTGGATGGTCTTGAAGGAGTCCACGCCATCAGGGTGACCAAGGCAAACCAGTTGTACCGCCTCACACTTGAGTTGTGTACCTTTTGCATTCAGCATGGGAAACATTTTTCTTGTGAGAATCCCGCTCGGAGTTACCTATGGCTCCTGCCACTGCCGGACTCGAAGCACTTCCTTCAACGACAGGATATTTTCCAAACTCTTTTTCATCACTGTGAGTATGGTGGCATGCGTCGCAAAGAAACACGTCTTGTGCACAATGTTCCAAAGTTCCGTGATCTCCAGCGAACTTGCTCCGGAAAGCATGTCCATTTGGGCTGGGGCAAGGTCGGGCCCCAATGGGCCACAGCAACTGAGACCGCTTATCCGTGGGGCCTTTGCAAGCTTATGGCCAGTTTGCTTGAGGAGCACTTCCTGACTCTCGGGTGTGCTGCGCCCCCGTCTGACATTACTGGTACAACCAATGCAGTGCAAGCTTCGCGAGCCTTCGCAGGTATCCAATCTCGCAAGCGGGTGCCCCCGCTGCTCAGCGAATTTGCTTCCGTACATTCTGTTGTTTTGCCTTCCAGACTCGCAAATTCCTTTCTTCGTCCCGGCCACAAGCTTGCCTCGGATTGGTGCCCCGGCACCCAAGTTGCTTGCACTCCAGCGCTGCAAAAATTTCCTGCCGGCAGCCGCGTTCTTCGTGCCCATGTGTTGCCCAAGGGGTGTGATGAGGACGCTAAGCCCGCGAGTACGGTTGAGCTCAGGGTCCCCCCTAGTTTTGGTTTAGGCCCTGCCCCGCCTTCTGGGACCTCCAAAAAGAGGCGGCAACACGATGTCAGTGTCGATCCACATAGCCGCTTTGGTTTAGATCCCGATGCGCCCAAAGTTCGGGAAGCTATGAAGTCCGGTTGTGCTGAGAGTGTGGCCAGATTGATAAACGAAGGACATCGTGTCCATCGCAAGGACCTGTGTCTTCTGCTTGACCTGCTTCCCTCAGAATCCTTGAGGTGGGAGGGAGACTCGGGAGCAAAGTCATTCCAAGCCGGCAGCTTTGTGCATGGACCCCTGAATGGGGTCCGCTCTGTGACCGAGCAATATCCCGAGTCGGTCAAAGCCATGTGCTCGTATGTAAGAGGCCTTTTTCCCGGATTGGTCTTTGGCACCGTGGGTTTGTTCAGGGACCTAGCCGCCTTGCCCCATAAGGATGCAAACAACGAGTCCTTTACGGACAATGCACTGGCAGCCCTTTCGGACTTCGAGAGGGGATCCTTGTGGATGGAAGACCCAGAAGGAAATGTTGAGCAAGAGTTCCGTGGCCGGTCGGTCAAAGGGGTTTGTACACCTGTAACACCGGTTTGACGGTAGGAGGTTGCACGCTACAATGCCTTGGGGCGGCCGGAGAGACGTGATCGTGGCATACATGCCCCGAGGACCGGAGAACTTGAAGTCTGAACATGTCAGGTTCCTGGAGGGTTTGGGGTTCGTCTTAGATCGCTCCAAAGCGGCAACGTCCGAGTCCAGTGATGGGCTTGCCAAGGCTGTCATTGGCGTGTATCGGACTCACCGTTTGGGTTTCCCAAAAGGATTGTCTCGTAGTTTGAGCCGGGCGGGTGGGCCGGGGGAAAAGTTGTGTAAGAAAATGAAATGGAATTTTCTCGTTTGCACTTCGCTTATTCCTTTGCTTGCATTCGGTTGCCAACGGCCTTGAGTTTGCACAGCTGGGAGTTCTGCCGAACGAATGATTCTCCTCCGTGGCCAATTCGGGTCCGAGACAATTTTGTGACTGGGGGGCAGTAGACCGTTGGCTCAGCGATGGGCTGGGCTTCATGCCAGCATGCCTCCGGAGAAGAGGCCAGCCGACTGGCGTGGTCTAACTGCTGTTAGTGAAGAACTGGCTTGCGAAGTTCAGAAGTGCTATCATTCTTTGGTACAGTTCGACGGTGCTTTTGAAGATGAGGCAGGTGCAGCAGTGATGGTTGCCGAATTACTGGGAGATAAAAAGCCTTCAGCAGAGGTGGATCGTATCTCTACATCACTTTGGCAATGGCGAGAGAAAAGGCAGCGGAGGGAGCCGCCGACATCTCGTCTGCTGCAGAGAGCATTGCCAGAATTGCCAGTTCAGGTGCCAAGGCCTGGGGTGAGCATGCAAGATGTCTTTGATGAAGTCGTAAGCACGACGCCAGCTGTGGCAGTCGCCTTGCTTCAACGTGCAGTGCGGGTGAGCAAAGCTGGTGGGAATCGCGAGGAATTGGAAGCCCGGCTCAAGGAGCGGTGGGCGCTTGAACTCGTGGGCTACATCAAGGAATCTAAGCTACCATGTGCGGCCCGGATGGAGGCATTGGGCGACGGAAATCAACAGTGGCTGCGAGTGTTCGGAAGTCGCAGGGGAAAGACCTTGCGTAATCGTGCGAGGGCGTGGAAACCACTCCGGGACTGGCTGATGACGTCATATGGCAAGACTTGGCCCGATTCGGCAGCGATGGTCTTGAAGTACCTGGAAGAGAGGCATGGCACCGTGCCGCTGGGGAAGACTGTGCCGAATTCGATCATGGCAAGTTTATCATTGCTGGAGACAGTGGGAATGGTTGCTTCTGAAGAACGGCTCAGCGAAGACCCCTTGCTAGTCGAGAGCGTGAGATCATGGACGGCCGAGCTCGAGGCAGGGGGCCCAGCCGTGAAGGCAGCACCGCTGTTGCCGATTGCAGTGATCCTTGCATGTGAGATGGTAGTCTGCAGACCAGTGTATGAGCTAGGGCTTCGCTTCACTGCATTTGTCTTGTTGCTTATGATCTGGGCAAGCATGCGCTGCGATGATGTTCAGAACATTGACCCCGAAAGCTTGAAACTTAGCCAAGTGGGCCTGCGCTTCGTGCTTCGCAAGACTAAGACGAGCGGTCCTGGCCGGAAGATCGGGGAACTTCACGGGTTTGTTTCTCGGCTTGCTGGGCTTAGTGGATTTGATTGGCTAGGGGAGGGAGTGAAGCTCCTGAACAGCGAATTGCTCTCTTGGTCGCGTGACTTCTTGTGTCCCGCATTCAGCAGCGAGTGGGATCTGCCCTCGAGGGGCTACATGGATGCAGAAGGCCTGGCATTGCAGCTGCGACGGCTCCTTCAGCATTTGCCCACTCCTGTGCGGCAGCAAGGGGTTTGGAAGGTTTCCCGTGAGTTGCTTTTCCAAGGGGCTGTTGTCTCCTTTTGGACAGGGCATAGTGCGAGGCATGTCTTGACTAGCATTGCTGCAGCGCTCGGAGTTAAGAAGGACCAACGTGATTATCTCGGGCGCTGGGCCTATGCGCAGCATGGATCCCAGGATTATGTGCTGACCTCTCGCCAGGTCGTTCAGGGGATTCAGAACTTCGTGTGCAAATGCTTACTTGCAGGCAGAGCCGAGGGGAGTTACTCCGAAGAGGAACTGTTCTGCGAATTGCATGCATTTGCAGAAGCGTCTGGACTAAGTGGTGACTCGGTGGTTCGGGCTTGCTCTGTTCTTCAATGGGACGATGCCGAGGGCACTTGGAAGCTGGGCGGTGCATTTCCCTGCTTAAGTGTGTCGCCTGAGAGAGTGCGGGCTGCTGCAGGCGACATGGAAGCATCGCTGCCAGGAGCATACCAAGAGTTCGATGCGGAGGTGGATCAGGACGAGGCACCTTATTTCATTACGGTGTCCAGAAAGGGCTTTCGTCGCTTGCATCTTTCGAGAAAGTGCGCGGTGCGGCGCGAGAATTGTCTGGAGACCATCCCGATTTTCAAGTTGTCGGAAGGGATTGCCGATGCAATGTGTAAGCTCTGTAAGCCGAGGGCGGATCAAGCAGGAGATTCATCAACCAGCGGATCGGAGGAAACACAGGCCAATCCAGGGGAGCCGGGAAGCCGCGGGAAGCCCTGCTGCGGAGCTCCCAGATTTCCATGAATGAGCAGTGTGATTGTGCTGCGTGTGATTCGAAAATGAAGGTTGCGTTCAAGTGTGAAGCTCACGCTGCGGGTGGAATGCAGCAGTAGAGGTTTGAGGGGCTGCGGGTGGAATGCAGCAGTAAAGCTTTGTTCAGGCTGTCGGTGGAGCACAGTCACATGCGATTGAGTGAAGATGCCGGTGGAGTGCATCGAGTGATGAATCCGGATCTCGCATGTTGTTCAAGTGAGAGAGCGAGGATGTGATGTCATGACTAAATTTCTCTGGAACATGTTTCATGCTGACATGTGCTAGGAGCTCGCTCTTTCTTCCTCTGCGCGATCATGGCAACCGGGCTCCCAACGGGAGTCGATCAAGCTGCGACAATGGACTTTCTTGATAAGAATGTCAGCTCCGATTTGGTGCACATCTTTCAAGAATGTGGTGTGCCATTGGGGCTGCAGTACCGGCTTTCCCAGAATTTCCAGTCAGTGAAGCGTTTCTCGACTTATGCGGATTCGAGAGCAGATGTGCGGACTGCACTCAAAGACGATCACACTTTGGAGGCTACAAATCAGGAGACGCGGGCGGCAGTCGCTTCAGTGGTTTCGGCCTGGGAGACTTCAAAGGAGTACGCGAGCAAAGAGTCGGAGCTGAGGGCTGAGGCCCGCATGTTGGGAGTGAACAGGCCTGTCACTCAGACTGAGAAGCAGGCCATGAGAGTAGCTTTTGAAGCAGCGCATGGGACCTTGGAGGAATCCTTCGAGCCGTCAGATGATTACATTTCGGCAAAATTAGAGGAGATCGAGAATGGGGAGGTTTCAGCAAGTTCACTCTCTGAAGTTACTTCTAAGAAGCGGGTCAAAACAATGGGCATCCAGACCACCGTGGACACCGGCGGGCATGTGCGGATTGTCAGGCAACGGAACAAGGGTGTGATGCCGCAGCACACAGAGGAGTTGCGGACTGTCTTGCGTGTGGAAGGAAACATGTGGACTATGCTTGCATCCAAGTTCAAGAACAAGCCATTCTTTGCGCAGATGACACCTGAGGTGTGGTTGAGCTATGTCAACTTCTTGTTGGGCGAGAAGGTGTACCTTATGCAGGTTCCTGCCGGAGGAAAGGGTGGAAAGCTGGACCAGGCCCCTTTGCGGCCACCTTGGGTGGTGGTCCTGAACTTTGAATACGAAATGCGAAAAGAAGCGATCAAGCGTGCTTTCCGGGATTCTCGCCCTCTCCGTGATACCCTGCGTGAGGTGACCGAGGATGCACAGATCAAGGAGCAGTATTTTACATCTCCCATTGCTTTGCAGAATCGCGGGAAGCGGGCCACCGAGAGCTGGGAACCTTGGGATGAGAGCAACAAGTGGAATCGCAATGCCTGGAAAGGCAACTCTTGGGCTCAGCGAGGCGAGCACGATAAGGGAAAGAAAGGCAAGAAAGGCAAAGGGGAAGGAAAGAAAGGGAAGGATGGAAAGGAAGGCCCGGGAAAGTCTCAGAGCATCACATCGTCACGGACGCCCGATGGGCGTTTCATCTGCTTCGCGTACTCAGGGCCGGGATGTGATGGAAACTGCGGTATGGTGCATTGCTGCCAGGTCAAGGGCTGCTTTGGAGCCCACCCGACGTGGAAGCATTGGCAGCTTCAGCATGAAGGGAAGAACGAACAGAAGAGCTGACTTAGCGTGCTGGTGGTGTCAGATCGTGAGGTTTTTGAATCAGTGCATGAGTGTTTACAAGAATCCGTGGAGAAGAACGGGATCCAGCTTAAGGTTGATCACTTCTTCAATGATAATGAACTTGGTGACTGGTCGAGCCCTGATGCTTGGGCTTCCGTTTCCGGTCGATTAGCCACCGGAACATGGCAGGCCGTGCTCATGTTCCCGCCGTGCAAGACTTTCAGTCGCGCCAGGCATCACAGTGGCCCCTCGCGCAGTGGGCCGAAGCCTTGCCGGAGCAATAATTTTCCTCATGGGTTCCCTTGGTTGTGCAAACAGATGTCGGAAGCCGTTGCAGCCGAGGACTTTCTTGTCACTCAGTGTTTAAAGTTGCTGCAAATTTCTTCAGAGATTGGGTTGGGTTGGTTGTTGGTGCATCCCGAGGACCTAGGGAAGCTGAAGTCACTGGATGTGCCTGCTAGCATTTGGCAGTGGCCTGAGGTACGGGATGCAATCCAGGCTTGCGCGAAGGCTTCCACACGGGCCGTGCATATGTGTACGTACGGTCATGCTGCACCACATCCCACGCGTGTTGCATCAAACCTGCGTGTGGAACCTTCGGGCCTCTCCTGGCCCACTTTCGACTTGCAAGGGTTTTACATAGGGCCTTTGGGCCGATGCCCGCATGTTCATCATAATGCTGTGGGCCGCAAAGGTGCTGCTTGGGCCACCAGTCAGCCCTTCCCAAAGCCTTTCTTCCAGGAACTTGCTGATTTGGCGTGTGCATGTGCTTCGGACCACCGGTCCACTGACCAAGGTTTTGCAGGCGCCGAAGCTTTTGCTGCATTCCTTCTTGAACGAGATTCGGGCATCACAACCCATGATGCCGAGGCCCTCTTCCATTTGCTGCCATTGGAGGCACCGCATCCAGCTGCTCAAGGTGAAAAGGTTTCTTCAGGACAGGCTTTCTTCGGAGGGGCCTTCCGGAAAGGCCCGTTCCACGGTTTGCGGCATAGCTGCGCGGCTTTCCCAAAGTCCTTGCAATGCTTCACCAAATTGCTGCGTTCGTCCTTCCCGGGCGAGGTTTTCAGTTCTTTCGCGATTTTCTTGAATTGCAAAGCAGAGATGCATCGTGACAGCCGGAATGCCCCCTTTCCTAACTTGCTCCTCGCCTTGTCAAATTTCGATCAGGGCCACGTCTGGGCCGAGGATCCCAAAGGACTCGTCTTTCGTGAAGTGCGCGGTGAGCTCCGCCCGGGCTGCTTGTTGGACGTTGCACAACAACCTCAACGTCTCATGGCTCACACGTGCTTTCATCAGACCGAGCCGTGGCAGGGTGACCGTGTCCTGCTGGTGGGTTTCACGGTTCGGGACCCGTGCGATCTCAGCTCGGAACATGTCCACACCTTGCACACTCTGGGCTTTGTGCTGCCATCCTCTGCTCCGCTGAAGCAAGGGGGTGAGAATGATGTCGCCGATGATTGCAGCCCCCTGTCTCCTGATAGCACCCCCCGTGAGGTGCCCTCCGGGGCCCTTGACCCCGGTAGCACCCCTCTGGGAGGGACCACCCCGGAGGCTCCAGATAACACCCCGGCAGAAGGGCCCACTCTGCCGGCACCCGACACTAGTCACAGTCTTCCCGCTTCCCCAGGTCGTGCCGTTGTGACAGATGACGATGAAGCGTTTGATCCTACAACCAGTCGGTGTCGGGGTCCTCCCATTAGGTGCCGGCACACTCCTGACTGGAGAGAGTTGATTGACGGTTTCGGCTTGTGCTCGCCGGGTCGATGGCGACCGGTGGCAAGGAACGCTAAGGCTAGTTCGGAGGAATGGGACCATGCACAGGATCTTCGGAAGATCCTCCAACGTGCTGTGCATGCGACCATCCCAGACCTCCGAAAAGCTGCTTACCTCTTAGCAGCGGGACGGATGCCATCTTCACCTTTCAGCAGCAAGCTGATTGAGGACACGCGTGAACAGATCGCTAAGACCCTGCCCGATCCTGAACAGGCCATGTGCCAACCGGCAGGGCAGCCTTTCATGTTGCACATGATGTCCCAATCGCTTAAGCTCCTAGGGGATCCGGACTACGAAATCCTTGACCAAGGGAATGAATGTTTCGCCGAGGGTGTTCCTTTGGGGTGGGATAGACCAATCCCCCGCACTCCTCAGGTTTTCCCTAAGCGCACGCACTTCAAGAAACTGGATGAGTCTGATTTTGATCCGTCGATGTTGAATTACCGCTCAGCCGAGCTGAATGCTGATCAGCTGGAGGAGAAGTTCCGCCAGGATGAACAAGCTGGCTTAATGCTTTGCACTACGGAGCTGGAAGCTCGCCGGAAGTACGGCGAGGACTCGGTACTCATCGCGGCCATGGGCGCCGTCACCAAGGCAAACGGTGACGTGCGCCCATTACACGATGGGACCCACGGCATCAACTTGAATAACTCGATCAAGATCCTTGACAAGCTGCAAGTCCCAGGACCGGAAGATCTTCAGGAAGTTGCCTCCCGGGTCAAAGAAAGTAAAGAAGCCCCTTTCACACTTTGTGCCGACATTAGTCAAGCCCACAGGAATGCAAAAATCAGGGAGTGCGACTGGCCCCGGTTAGCATGTAAATCTTCTAGCACTTCCCGTGTCTTATGGCTCAATAAAGTTGGAACTTTCGGGGTCAGCTCGGCGGCTTACTACTGGACGCGCTTGTTCGCCACTGTGGGAAGGTGGACCTTCCGCGTGCTGCATCTTGATAAATTTTACATGCTAATTTATGTCGATGACCTTCACGTGGTGGTGTATGGTGCAGACAAATTTGAGACGCTGTGGCTCCTCTTCTTGGCGATGGAAGTCTTGGGGACACCCTTCTCCTTCCACAAGTTCAAAGGGGGTGTCAACGTGGATTACATCGGCTACCACATCAGTTACTACGACTGGGCCGCCGGGATTTCCGAGAAGCGTGCTGCTTGGATCGTCGAATGGGTGGACCGTGCGGAAGCCGCGAATTGGGTGGTGACCGGCCGGGCACTGTCTGAGTTCACGGGTCGCTTGAGCTTTGTGACACGGCTCCTCACATGGTTGAAGCCGTTCCTGGCCCCGCTTTTCGCTTGGGGCAATGCGTTGAACCGGAGCACCGCGGCTCAGGCTCCTGAGATGGTGATCCACGTGCTCAGGTTTTACCGCTGGCAATTCTTGAATGGAGCTCGGTTGGATGCTGTTCACATGTGCTGGCCTTCCCACGAGCGGCAAGCCTTCAGGACAGATGCCAAATGCGAGGCGGGACGGATCGTGCTGGGTGGATGGTCTCTTGACCATGGCTTGGACACCCGCCGGGCACCTTGGTTTGCGCTGGAGGTCTTCCCTGCGGATATGCCGGCGTTGTTCAAGGAAGATGGGTCATCCGAATGGGCTTCGACAGCTGCGGAGTTGCTGGCTTCTTATGCAGGCTTGGTTGCATTCAAGCACTTGGAGCCGGCCGGGGGTCGCGATGCACTTCGCTTGCAGGTCCATGCTGGCACGGACAATTCAGCCACGCCAGCCGTACTTGAGAAAGGGATCAGCAACAAGTGGCCTGTGCAGGGCCTGCACATGCAGCTGTCGGTTTCGCTGCGACATGCCAATAAGGTGTGTAAGTTGTCATGGCGCCCGCGCGAGGAGAACCAGGACGCTGATGATCTGACGAATCTCAGACTTGACAATTTCGATCCCGCCTTGCGGATCCCGCTTTCGCTATCGGCTATCCCGCTTGATCTTTTCAACCGCCTTCAGGACTCTCATGCGGGCTTCTTGTCTGAGAAATCCAGGTTGTCAAACTTGAAGCGGCATGAGCCGAAGGCAACGAAGAGGCAGAAGCTTCTTGATAAGACCAGCTGGTAAATCGGTGCGTTCACTGGGGCCGCCTTGCAACGGGTTCTTCTAAAGTCGGGGGATGCTTCGGAACCGGTTGCTGCTGCAACCCCGTTCTGCCGTAAGTGCTGTGGCTCCCTCACTTGTGCCTGTAGGCTGAGAGGTTGAATCCAATGGAGCGGTCCCAACACACATCCGGAAAAAGATCGAAGCTGTCCGAGAGTGCGTGCATCACACATGTTCGGGAGTTCGTGCGGTCCTGCCTTTTGCGATTTGATTCTTCCCTACACCTTATGCCCTGCCACCCTAGAGCCGCTGCCTTTTGGTTCAAACGACGGGACAAACCGTTTGGGTTTCCCAAAAGGATTGTCTCGTAGTTTGAGCCGGGCGGGTGGGCCGGGGGAAAAGTTGTGTAAGAAAATGAAATGGAATTTTCTCGTTTGCACTTCGCTTATTCCTTTGCTTGCATTCGGTTGCCAACGGCCTTGAGTTTGCACAGCTGGGAGTTCTGCCGAACGAATGATTCTCCTCCGTGGCCAATTCGGGTCCGAGACAATTTTGTGACCCACCCACGCCACCCTTGGTTCTTGCAAAGCAAATCTTGAAGGCTACAGTGTTTAACGTATCACTTATGTGCATGTGCCCCTCTGGATGTGCAGATACGCGTGACGTCCTGCAGTGGGGGATGCTTCGGAACCGGTTGCTGCTGCAACCCCGTTCTGCCGTAAGTGCTGTGGCTCCCTCACTTGTGCCTGTAGGCTGAGAGGTTGAATCCAATGGAGCGGTCCCAACACACATCCGGAAAAAGATCGAAGCTGTCCGAGAGTGCGTGCATCACACATGTTCGGGAGTTCGTGCGGTCCTGCCTTTTGCGATTTGATTTTTCCCTACACCTTATGCCCTGCCACCCTAGAGCCGCTGCCTTTTGGTTCAAACGACGGGACAACTGAGCAGTTTGTTGAACAAGCTGCGCGCATCGGCCATCCCACTCAGCTGTCCTCTCTTCTCCCGCAAGAGATTAGGTCTGCAGTTCAGAAAATCCACCGCCAAGGCGAGGCCAACGTGGCGTTGGAAAGGACCGAAACTCTTCGCAGGTGGATTGCACTTGCGTCTGAGCTTGAACCAGTTGAGAAGGCTTTGAAAGCCGATTTGCCTGAGTTCCGGAAAGATGTTCTTTCGACCAAACGCTTGGCCTTGTTCCGAACCCTCTTGAACGAGGTTCAGCATGAGGACGTCACGCTTGTGGATGATATCCTTAAAGGGTTTGATTTGACTGGTAAGCTGCCCTTATCCAATGTCTTCACCCGGAGGTTCAAACCAGCGGAACAGTCCGAAGCTCAATTGAGGTCTGGCGCCAAGCGGTTGCGGGACGGCTTAGTGGCTACTGTCAAGGCCTCCGACGATCCCGTGATTGACCAAGGGGTCTTGAAGGCCACTCACAAAGAACTTGAGCGAGGGTTCGTGGAGGGACCCATTGCTTTGAGTGACGTCCCCTCCAATGCGTCGCTCACGCACAGGTTTGGTGTGCGCCAAGGGGAATCCGAGGATGGGCCTAAGATTAGGCCTATCGACAATTACTTGTCGTCGCAAGTGAACTCGGCCGTTTCGCAAAATGAGCAGATAAGTGTCCACACGATCGACATCGTCGCTGGCCTGTTGGGGTGTTGGTTAAATGAGTGGTTCCTTAGTGGTCGCTCCGAGCATGCGGCCCCTGTGTGCAAAGCATGGGATCTGCGTACTGCTTACAAACAACTCCCGCTATCCGACTCTTCGTACGAGCTTGATAGCTACTTCATCTTGTTCAACGTCGAAAAGGGCGAAAGTGAGGTCTACAAGCAGCGAGTTCTTCCTTTCGGATCAACCGCAAGCGTCACCAGCTTCATCAGGGCAGCATACGCGATTTGGAAGCTTGGGGCAGTAGCCCTCACGCTCGCTTGGAGTGAGTATTTCGATGATTACTTGAACGTTTGTGGGGCAGCCTTTGCCAAGCATTGTGATTTCGTGATCACGATGTTTTCAAGTTGATCGGCTGGGAAGTATCCCGAGACAAGGAACTGAGTTACAGCTCCATGTGTGTGGTCCTTGGGGTCCAGATCAATCTTAGGGACGCTAAGCTTGGTCTCATCTTCCTTGAAAACACTACCAAGCGACGGTCAGAGGCCTTGAAGGACATTGATCGCGCCCTTGCCACGGGCCAGCTTGACCCTAGCGAAAGCGAGAAGCTGCGTGGTCGGCTTCAGTTTGCAAGCTCTCAGGTTTTCGGCCGCCGCCCAAAAGCAGCGCTTAAGCTTTTAGGACAACACTCTCGTCAACGCAAGTGGGAGCTCAGCCCACTTGCTCTTCTTGGGTTAACTCAGCTTAAGCAGTTTCTTGAGGCTTCGAAGCCGAGGCCAGTGCGTGCTAGACGGGATGAATATGTGCACATCTACGTGGATGCATCCTTCGAGCCCGGTGGCTACTGCGGGTTAGGAGGGCTGATTTTCAACTCATCTGGTGCCGCCCTGAGTTGGTTTGGATACAAGCTGCAACAGTGCCATGTGAACAAGCTGCTCAAGGATGGAGAGCGTGAAAAGGAAACTGTAATCTTCGAACTTGAGGCGCTTGCTCTGGCCATTTCCTTGGAAGTTTTCAGGCCGCTCGTAGGGCGCAAAGGCGTGGTGGCTTTCACTGACAACGAAGGTGTGTTTGGAAGCTTTGTTCGAGGACACAGTGACAATTCGGTCTGCGCATCGTTGATCGATTTCTTCGCTCGCAGCGAGGAGGATCTTGAAGTGATCTGCTGGCTGGATCGTGTCCCATCGCTGTCGAACCCAGCGGACAATCCGTCCAGAGGACAACAGATCTCAGGTGTGCCCAGGACCGAAATATCAGCTGCTTTGCTCGCTCGTGCTCTCCCTTTGGTCTTCAAGTGAATGGGGCACTGGTGCTCAGGGGGTTGCGGGATGTGCCGCATTCACTTGGAAGTCAAGTCAAGAAGTGTATCCTGAGACATCTTTCGAATGCCCCATGCGACCTCAAAAGAAAACAGTCGGAGTGCGCGAGTGTGATTCACAGTGCATGTTACACTTGATTGAGTTTTAAATATTCTATAAGACTGGACTTATTTCGAAGTGGAACAAGCCAGATTTCATCGTTTGCGAAATACGTCATGCCTTTGAGTATGTTTCGAGCTTTTAACATTTCCAGTGAAAATAGAAAAAGTATGTAGCGTGCTTAAGTGCAAAGATGAACAAACAAATACAAGCACGCGCACATATATATATATATATACATACATAACTACATGTATGTTTTTCGATTTCTACATGCATAAATTTCTTAAGCATGCACGGCTTACAAACAGGACACGGGAAGTTCGAGGGACGCAGACCCCCTTAAAAAAAAAGGTATGTAGCGTGTTTAAGTGCGAAGATGAACAGACAAATGCAAACACTCACGCAATTTTTTCATACATACATCAGATGTGCTTGTGCATCGATGAGACAAGCTCATCCGAGAACGCAAGCATGCGCGGCGTAAAATCTGGCGCGGGGGTTGGGGGGGGCGCAGCCCCCCCCCATTTGCAAGCACAACATCCAAGCTATCATTTCGGGCCGCACTTGCGGCACAACTTTCAAGCCTCCCTTTGACGCCTCCCCTTGAAACCTTTTTTGGGAGCGTTGTTTCACAGCTTTCACGCCCACTGAAGCCCCCCTGCAAGCCCCCCTTCAAGCAGGAACCACCAGGAATCGCCGACCTGCAAAGTGATTCCGACGCTGTCGTATGGACAGGTGAGACGTCTGTTCGTCCTGACCAACAGGGCCTCCTCGTTTTGGGCACCCCGCTTGGGAGCGACGCTTTCGTGCAGCGGCAGCTGGAGCTCAAGCGAGCTGAACACGACAGACTGCGCACGCGCATCCCAACTGTCGAAGACCTGCAGGCCGCCTGGCTCCTGTTGTGCTGTTGCACTTGCCCTCGGGCCACTAACCTTTTCCGCATGTTACCACCTGCTACCACCTTGCCTTTTGCTGAAGCGCACGACGGTGCTGTTGACAGGTGCGTGTTTGCCCTGCACTGCCCTGCTCGGCTTTGCGGACGCCCCGCTGCCTGAGCTTTCCACGCGCAGCGCCCGTCTGCCACTGCAATGCGGCGGGCTCGGCCTGCGAGCGGCCACGGTCGACCGGCATGCCGCGTACTGGGCATCCTGGTTTCTGGTTTGACACGTTGCCCGTGCTCCGGGACCGCGCGCCTGCAGCCGTAGCGTGGTTTTTCGCCTTGCTCGCGGACCCGGAGGCCGGCCGTGTGCCAGTCGTCGCAGAAACGGCCCAAGCTGCAGCTCACCTTGTCAGCCAAAATTTTCGCACCCCTGCTTGGGACTCCGCCCTAGGCAACGTCGCTTTCCCACCTGACACGGCCATCGAAGACGCCGATGGAGTTGGCTACTTGCGGGGCTGGCAACGCCGGGCTTGCCGAGCCTGCGACGAGCGCACGCTCGAGACGCACTTTACGTCTCGCGCCCTGCTGCTCTCCCAGGCCGGGTACACTCTGGCCGTGTGTTTACGGTATCTTACGGCCTTCCCCACCTCCGACGATGTCATGATTGCCAGTGCGCAGTTCCGTGTCCTGCTGCGTCGACGGGAGTTGCGTGCAATGTTCGCGTCGCTGACATGAACATTGATGTGCCGGTCAGCGACCGGGAGGATCGAGGTCGTGTGCAATGAATGGCTTGCCCCTCTGGCACGGAGCTCGGTTCGCAATTGATGCGACTCTGGCCTTCCCGCTCACGCGCCACGGCCTGCCGCAGCCTACGCCCGATGCGAAACCGGGCGTTGCGTCGGCCCGCGCGGCGCAACGCAAAGTGCCCGGAGTTGCTTCGCCGCTGCCGCCTTATCGTTCTTGGCATTGAAACTGGTGGGCGCTGCAGAAAGGAAGCCGCCATAGCCGCCTTCTTCCGACTTCTCGCGCAGGCCCGCCCAAAGCTTGGTGCTGCTGGTGACCCAGGCACCCGCTTTGCACGAGTTCGTGGCTGATGCACGTTGGCTGCATGCACCCGCCGCCAGCCGCCTCCCAGCCCGCCCCCTCGTAGACTGCAGCATGCGCAGGGACCGGACCATGTATTTCTGGCGCTGTTGTTAAAAATGTGCGGAAAAAGAATGAAATACCTTGGACTTGGGTAGGTACTTCGAACTGCCTGGACCCTTGTCATGCAAGCAGAAAAGTTTGTGTCAGACAATGAAGGGGGCCGCCAGGGTTCGACCCAGAAGGTGCGCGACGGCATGCTCGAGAGGTGTAGCAAGTCAATGATCACCCGGTTATTACCCATGCAGAACGTGGAATATCGTGGATTTGCTGATGACAAGTGCAACTGCGCGGCGCTAACGGAGGTGGGCGCGACGTGGATGGCTCGGGTAGTTACAGGCTATGGTTGCGGAAGCAGCGAAACACAGGCTGCAAAAAACAGTTCAAAAAACGCAACCAGTACCATCACGACTTGCGAGTGCGTACTGTTTCCATCCTTGTCGCCGTCCGACCAGGTGGCGAGCCTGCATGCTGGCGCCTGGCTGGTTGCTGTACCCTTCGAGCCAGCATTCACAATGGTGCCCTTGCGGAGATGTAGACCGGTTCGCTGCAAAGGCTGCGACTCCCGTTTCCTTTGCCACCTCGACGCTGCGCCGGCAAGGATCAAGATGGATGCGGAATGATGCGGAACGGAGATTAGTAAGCTTGTGCGGACGAAGGGATCCAAGTGGCGCGGGAGGCAGTCAGACCGAGTGGCACCGATTGACAGCCCAAGAGAAAGACTCAGACTTGAAACTGTGCGCTTGCTCTACCCACTTCCGAGGAACCGAGTTGCTACCGGCTCTGCCAGCCACTGCCCAGGCCATGCTCCTTTCGTAGTTCGGGGCCGCATGCCGCCGATTGGCTCAGCGCCACCCCGTGCGAGGCTGGCACCGCTTTGCCGCCCGACCGCATGTTCACAGCCTTACGGCGACGGCTGCGGCTGCCTTTGCCAGTCGCCCCGCACAGATGCGGCGAACATGGGGTGGCCTTGTCGATGCATACGGTGACCACCATGCCGCCTGCCCACGTACAGGCCTTCTTGCCCGCAGAGCCAAGCCCTGGAGCACGCCTGGGTGCGCGTTGCTCGTGAGGCTGTCTGCTGACCTGAGGGCCAGGTCATACCGTAGCAACGGCTCGCACGCACATCGGCCCCGGACGTCGATCCCGCCGATCGCTGTCGCCTCGACTTTGTAGCATATGGGGCTACCCCGTTCGGAGAAGCTTCTTGCTGCGACGTCACTCTCGTGTCCCCGCTGACACGCGACGGGCGCCCTCAGCCTTCCGCCGTGACGTGTGACGGTGCCATGATCGCTGTCGCTGAGCGGCGCAAGCGCGCAGCGTGCCCCGAGTTGCTGCGCCCGGCAGCCCCTGTGCATCCTCGCGTGCGAAGCCGGCGGACGCTGGCGTTCTTAATCGCACCGCCTGGTCTCGCAACTGGTGCGGCTTCGCGCCCAGCGCACTCCTGCTGCCCTGCGCGGTGCCGCTACCCCGGGCTGGCTGGTGGTGCTTTCTTACTGTTGCCTTGCAAAGCATGCTGCACCACTGCGCGGCACGCCGTACATCGCTGGGGCATGCCTGGCTCTCAGCTCCCCGCGCTCGGGGACGTCCTGCACGACGCAGCCCCCCCCACCCCGAGCCGCTTGCCGTACTTTGCAGCGCAGAGAAGTCGGGCGGGAGGGTGGTTGGCATGTGGCGAGGCATAATAAGGCACACATGGCGAGAAGAAGCCACGCGCACTGAAGGTCAGGCCGCACGGGGAGTCTCGCGTGCATCCCCGCCCCACAAGCCCTCTCCGAGCTCGGCGACACCAGGAGGTGCTGTCCGCCCGCGCGGTTGTACACCCGGGTTTTGCTGAGATTGGCGGCGACGCCCGCCAGGGTCTCGATGGAAGTGGTAACGACATCCAGTGACTCGCGTGCCCGAGCGAACGGAAAAATTTGAAACGGAGCCGCACGTCGCAAGCGCCATCAGCCTTATCCGAGCCTTATCCTGAGCTGTACGTGCCCGTTGTTGTTGTTGGTGTCGACGTCGGCGGCCGTTTTGGCACTGAAGCAGCCACCTGGGCCTTGGAGGTGCCTGTGCCACCGCGGGTGGCTGCACGCTCAGCTTGGGTTGTTGGCATGTGGGCGCCGTTTGCTTGTGTGGCTTCGGCGCACACCTGGAGCGGCTGTCGCGGGCGAATTGGGCTGTGAATTGAGGTTCGCCGTTTGCAAATCAATTTATTCGGCCGGCTATGTGCTGCTGTAGCACAACTGACGTGCGTACTTTGGCTCTCCTCGGGTGTTCCATTTTGCTGTGCACTCGTCAGGGTCGTGCGCTCACGGCGTCAAACTGCAGCTACAATTTAGTGGCGGTTAGCTGCTGGCTGCTTGTGGAGTGGTGTCAGGTGCGCTGGCGGTATAACTGCAATGGAAAAAGTCAGTTGTCTGGCCTCCCGTGCAATGTGAAGCATTCGCGCAGTACCACTCAAAAGTTGTGACTGTGTTTTCCTTCAAGCATTTTTCTTTTTACGCACCTTTTTCCGCCAGCCGGGAGGAGTCTTCTGGTTCCTCTGTCACCTAGGACCTACTGGGCCGAGGCGCAGGGCTTGCCGCGGACCATCGCTAGGACCGCAAGGGCAAGCGGCTCTGGCCCTCAGGAGCGGCAAGCTGGAGGACTCCGTCGACCGGCGGGCCTTCGCCGGCCTCCGGTTGCAGCGGTGGCAGCCAGGCGCCGCACAAGGCCGTGCCTGCTGCATCGCAACTGAAAGCAGGCTCCACCAACGCCTGGCGCATCCCGCGGTGGCGGCCGCGCGTACGCATGGCGCATCATCCGTATTTTGAGTGTGATATGAAAGTGCATGGTGCTAGGCCGCCGATGCAAGTTACACGCG